ATTATTATAAATTTTTACTTTTTTAAATTATTTTTAGTTCTTTTTATTTGTGTGTGTGTGTGTGTGTGTGTGTGTGTGTGTGGCCAGTTCCGCCCACCAGGGGGCGGGGTTGGCTGGCATGTGGTGCTGGGGGATTGAACCGGGTCCCTGTGCTTTGCTAAGCTTATTCTAAGTAGGTGCTTTAGACTACTGAGCCATCTCACCAGCCCCTATTACAAATTTTTTAAAAAATGATAGAAATAGAGACTAGTTAGGTTTACCATCCACGCCCCTTGTCAAAAAAACACAGTACTCATAGTATTTGAAGTGCAGTGAAAATTGAAAGCTGCTGACCTGAGTCATCCTGCAATTTGGGAAAACCACTTCTCGCTTTTGGAAATCGCCACAGTTTCTGCCCTCAGATGGTAATGACTGTTTTTCACGACTCTCTCAGCATATAATGTAAATGAAAAGTCGTAGGAGTGAAATCAAACGGCTCTGGCCTTGCCATGATGAGCCACTTTCGATGAGTCTCTGAAAAGTGTAATACAGATCCTGCAACAAAAAAAAGCTAAATGTCATTTTGTATAATAAAATCACTGAACCAGCTACAAGTTGACCTCTTGACCTAAGAATGAATTGCCCAGAGCCATAGTGCTGCAAAGAAAGACCAAGATGTGGAATGTGCCAGAATTACATGAGCAGGTTATTAATCAATTCTTAAGCTCTGTAAAACGCATAGTGCTTTCTCCTGAAATGAAATTGAATGATTGCATCTTGTTCTTGGAGAAATTACAAACATGCAGCATCAACTAAATCTGCTGGCTTAATTAAAGGTATACTAACTAAAACAATAATATTAATGTGTACTATGTCATGCTGGTGCAACAGAAATAATCAGTATTTGTTCGTATCACCAGTACCCCTCAATCACTTTCATGAGTACTCAAGATAGTTTTAATTTTATTTATTTATTTTGGTACTAGGAATTGAACTCACAAACTTACACTTGCCAGGCAGGTGCTGTGCCGCTGAGTTTCTAGTTATTTTTTTTGTACTTAAAAATGACTGTACCTTCTACATGGTAGGGGAAGCCTGTTCTACAGCTTTGGGTCTTATTTGCTTGCTCACAGATGAGACAACCGGACCTTGGTCCAGACCGCTGCTCACACCCACTCCTCCTAACCTCCCTGTCCTGTGGGTGTGCACTATGCTGCCACAGACAGCATGTCAAGGTACAGAGAGTCTCAGGATGGCAAGGGGGCTGCCTGTGGCTTTTGCTGCCATCCCACTGACACCCCATCTTGGCTCCTATGTAAGAATCACAGCATGGAGCTCTGCTAGGCTTCCCCATGTCCTCTAAATGTGGGTATATACTTTAACCTCAGGTATCTCTGGATCACATTTATATGATCTGTGCTACTGAGTGCCAAAGAAGTTGACGCACTGGGTAGTATAGTTTAGAAGACCATCAAAGGGGCTAAGCATCTCATCTTTCTTCCTATGGTCTGGAAGAGGAGCTGGAGTTTGTCTACTGATTCCCTGAAGCTAAAGACTGTGGCTGGCATTCTGGGCCCTGACGTGGGCATCCGTGCATGTCTCAGCTGACCTGGCCATCTGTGTGCCTTTTCTTCAGGCATTAGTTCCCAAAGAAATCAGCCTTCTCAGCTACTGAGGACAAAGTCTGGAATGCCCTGGCTAGGAAGAGTAGCCAATGGAAAGATCTTTAGAAGACGTGGAAGCTCTTTGTGAGATACTTGGATTGGAGCAGAGGCAAGAGGTTTATCTATGTGGTTCACTCATATCCCCAAACACATATATTGCTAACTTCCCTTAATTTTCCTAAATTATGATCCAAATATGCCCCTGCCTAAAATGTATAAATCAAGCTGGCCAACTAGCTCAGCTGATTAAAGCACCTGCAGGCAGTTGCAGCGGCTGGGGTTTCAATCCCCAGGCTTGCCGTGCCAGTCCCACCCCCGGGGCACACTGAGACAGCAATTGAGAATGGATGTGGTGTCATGCGCCTGTAAACCCAGCTCCTGGGAGGCTGTAAACAGGCAGATCCCTCTGGGTCCAATCTAGTAGTAAGACCCTGAATACCCTGTATATCCTTCCCTAAAATACAATAAATAAATAAATAAATAAATAAATAAATAAATGTATAAATCCTATAATCTTATTAAACTAGTTTCTGGGTAAAGACAAAAGTAGATCATATGTTTAAAAAGTTGAGCTCTGTTATATCCTTTTACTCTTATCGGTCATATACTTCTGCATATTTAGTATCAAAAGAAATGCATTTCCTTTATTTCTTTGAATAAATGGGAAGGCATCTTCTTGGGCACAGGTTCCTAAATTGCAATTTGGGGGTAAGTCATGTATGTGAGTTTTCCTAGGAAGGTCAGCACTTTATACTACGACTAAGATCAAAGTTAGTTTAAGAAAAGAAAAAAGGTGCTCTGTACTGAAAAAAAAATATACGTTTACCTGGTCAATAAATACCACTAATTATACATTTGTAAGGCAAATATGCTTGTGGCACATGTAAGGCATTAAGATAAAAATGATTCCTTCTTACCCACTGTACCATTCAGGAAGCTAGGATCTAATATGGGAAACATACAGTAAAATGGAAAATTAAAATATGTAGAACTTTTACTTTATAGTATCTGAAGGCAACACAGTAAAATGAGCATGACGCTCAGGAAATCAGGCTGCATTAGAATCATGTAAAAGTCATTAATATCCTCAGACTTGGCAGTTACGAGAGCAAATTAAATCAAATGAGGTGGTGTAGGGTAAGAGAAGAATGAGATCAGAGCGCCAAGGGCCACCAACATTTGGCCCCATAAATGTTTCTAACAGGACCAGCTAGCCACCTGCTATTAGAGCACTACTACAATTAATGTTTTAAAAAAAAAATACTGACAGCGCCGCCTAGCCAAAAGTTTCATTGGTATCTATGAAAACAGCAAAGACAGAGGAGATGGTGGGGTCCCCACTGTTGAGAATCTTCGGGCTCTTAGGAAATCAGCACACAGTAACAGCTGAGCTACAGTTGAGGAAGAGCAGTATGTGGGGGACAGAAGAGCGCAGGGGCGGGCAGCATTTCCGTCTGCAGTTTGCAATGGTGCTTTAACTCCATGACTCTTTGTAAATAAGGAAGTGAGCAAGGCGGCTGCATGGTAGTCTCTACTGTACACAGCACTCTTTCATGGTCTGCCAAAGAGCTCACAGTGAAAACCGCAGAGAAGGGGACAATTGGCGTCCCTAACTGAAATTCGATGAGCAGAACCAACCTCCAGCTTCAAAACAAGATGTGCATCACAGGGACAGTGTGGCTCTCTGTAAAATTCCAGCAGGGACAACTGTGCTGCTCTGGAGGAAATACCTTTTTGTTTTTTGTTTTTTTGTTTTTTTTTTCCCGTGGAACCAGGGATTGAACTCAGGCCCTTGCACTTGCCAGGGAAGCGCTTATTCCACTGAGCCATCTCCCCGGCCCCCTGGAGGAAATACCTGTTAAGAGAGAGCAGACAAGAGGGGATGGATACCTTACGGGAAGCAAACCTAATATTTCCCCAAGTCTTTGTTTTTCTTGAAAAGTTCCAAGGATATTGCCAAATGGACTTCATGTAGGTGCAGGAGAGTATCACCAAAATCTAAATAAAGGAAATGAGTGTGCTAACATCTGGGTGGGGAGAGTGTGTGTGTGTGTGTGTGTGTGTGTGTGTGTGCGCACTTATGGGAAAGTGACAGAAAAAAGAATGATAAAAAGCATGGCACTGCTTTTAATCTGATACAAAAGCAGAAAACAAGAACTCCCAGCACAAAATCGATCCATTATCAAATGCCATTCCTCCACAGATTATGACTGGACCATATCTACTGGAGCCATATTACAATTTATTTTGATTGTATAGATTCAGAATTCCAGAGAAGAATAAGGCAACCATATATGAGATGTAAGGAAAATGTAAGGCATTTGCTTCTCAGGTCAGTCTGACAAAGCCAGCTCTAAGTCTGTGCAGAGATGAAAGGAGCAGGCTCTCCGAATGGCAGCTTGCTAGGAAATTGTTCCTATAATAAGGACAGGCAATATTAGAGAGAAGCAAAACATTCATTATCTGTCCTCTCTCCGTGCAGGAAGCACAGCTTAGACAGGCGGAGGATGAAGAAGCTCACAGCCGTTTTACCGGTGAAGTATTGTTGCAGAAAGATTTTAAATGAAGACCATGTTATTCACTATAAATCTGTGTCATCTAATGACTTTCCTGAGGAAGGAACTAAAAGGGAAGTGTGAGGATAAATTATTTACTGTTATCTTTCATAAAATATGTTTTACGAGGGACTCCAACACAGGCTCTCCAAGGTTATTACTGAAAAGGTAAAATTAATAGCATTTGAGTTTCAGGAAAAGCACCCAAGTACATACAAACTACGGTAAATTCTGGCCTGGCCAGGATCTCCCTCTGAGAAGCCCACCTCTGCCTATCTCTTAGTTTTCTCCTCCTCTTTCTCATTTGCTCAGCTTAAGCTCAGGCCACCACTTGGTCCAGGAGTTTCCATTCTTGTGGATCTCATAGTCTAGAAGAATGTCAAAGGGCTATTTGTAGAATCAGAAAGAATGGGTGTTGGCTTTTTTATAGGACACAGATGGATAGATAGAACTGAAATAGGTATTTTAAATCCTATACTTATTGTTATTATTGTTGTTATTATTATTGTTACCATAACTGAAGGGTGAGGGGATGCTTCTCCTCAATGTTAGGAGGCCATAATTTCAAACTAAAAGAACATTCAAAAGGAATAAAACCTAGCTTCATGAAAAACTGATTATTGTTACTTTCCTCATTTCACTACAGACTGGTGAAAACACTGTTGCAAAGCGACATTAAAGAACTGAGTTTTGCAAAACAAATGAGTCCCATAGTCTCCAAAGTCCCAAGCCCCCTGCCTTCCTATTAACCTGGTAGACTCACTCTCAGTCTCCAGTAAGCCCAAGCACTTGGGCAGTCACCAGAAGTGGCCCACTGTGATCTGATGCCAGCCACCTATCCTGTGCGCATATGATGCCCCATGCTCGGTCCTTGCTCAGTACTGTTGATGCTCCTGTTAGTGGGAAACCAGAAAATTCCTTGTTCCAGCAAATAAAGACTTGGCAACAGGTCGTACAGGAAATCAATTCTATGCTGCTTTCATGGAAAAACTCTTGCTTTGTTGAAAAGAGAACTAGCTTAGTGAGCTATTTACATTGTGGAGCAGGCTGCCAGTCTAGCACGGCAGTCCCAACTGGTAATGCTCTGAATGCTTTGTGTGATTGACTTTGGTGTGTTTTTTGTTCATTTGTTCCCTTTGCTTGGAATTTCCCTTAGACCACCTAACAGACATAACTGAGGCTTGGCTTGGGTCACACGCTCTATGCAGCCATTCAGTCATGCAGATGAGACTCATCACTGATGCTCCCTATGCCTCCCCTGCACTATGTGATGCACCTCAGTACGAGCACCGTGGTGGCCAGCCTTTGGCGAGTACTGTCTGGCTAACATCCAGCT